GCCCCGACCCGCACTGCTCCGCCCGCGCCCCGCTCCGCCCCGCACCCAACGCACCGCGCTGCCCGCACGTGGCGCTGCGGGTTCGCCCCTCCCTGCCCGCACACCGCACTGAGGTGACCCGCAGCCCTGCCGGGGGTGGGACGAGAACGCGGGGAAAGCGGAAGGGCGGCCAACACAGCGGGAGCTGCGGCGGGCACCGCGCAAAGCGCTGCTCCGCATTTGAGACTGCGAGCACAAAGACGGACTTGGATTCCGTGCTGCGGGATCGGACCGGCAGCACCGCGCTGCTCCCATGTCATCCTGCTGAACGTGCCCAAAGGACGCAGGAGCACACCGAGCACACCGAGCAGCGTCCCAACGCGCGGAGCCCCAGCAGCAGCTCCGCTCAGCCCTCAACCAGACCCAAAGAGGCCATCTGCACTTTAAACCACGCCCGGCTGCTCTGAAATGCCTGGAACCGCTCGGCTCCAAGGACGGAGGGACGGACCGATGGCTGGTTTTGTGCTGCCCGCTGCCAACACGGCAAACTACCCAACAGCTCCTTTCTTCCCCATTTTCTGACTTGAAATGGAGTCTGCATTGGCTCTGCTGACACTCCGCTCTGATGCAGCACAGCTCACTGCATCCGCTGCGGAACGCCAGCTAACCAAGGTGCCCCAGCTCTCCCCAGGGCTGCGGTCAGGCACTGAGCGCACTGATCCTCCACGTGCACCGCTGCAGCCATCCGTCTCCTGCTGGGCTTCCCCAGGATGGCACCGTTAACGTGATGTCCTTCCCACTGAAAGCTGAGAGACACAGACCTCAAACAAAATTCAGTTCAACAAGAAAAACGTTAAGGTAGAAGCCAGAGCCACACCCAGAGGGAAGACCAGGGCACAGGGCTGTGTGCTTACACACCAGAGGATGCACAGGGAAGGGAAAGATACCACAAATCAACTGCATGGAAACTCCTGATCAGAACTTACACCTCATCAGATAACAGCGAATCCAGACAAAGCCACACAAGATCCAGTCCCACGGGTTCTGCTCCTCGCAGAGCTGTTTGTACAGAAGCACTGAGGGCTCACACTGCTGGAGCAGCACTGCAGGGCTGCCAGCTCTGCCTGCTCTCGTTCACAGCACTGCAGCGCTGAGTTATTTCCCCACAGGCACTGAACACGCTGTGCCATCTTTGTCAAGGAGTTAATTTGTCACCCCCTCCTGGTAAAAACCTGGAAAGCTGCACTCTAAATCAGACCAGCACGATACATGATTACTCCTTGGAGGTCTTTAGATACAACTCAAAGCATCATTCCACAAAGGAACAGCAATACCTTTCTTAAGAAAGGAACCTCTATAATGGGTCAGCCTTTTCCTTTTAAGCAGATGCATCCATTACAGGACTCCCTTTCTGTTCAGATGACTCTCAGGCAGCACACATGGAAGGTTTCCTAGGGAGAAATATATCTGAAAAAGTGACTTTGGGAAACGAGTGCCAATTCCTTTTATGTCTGTTTTACAAGAAGAATACTGATGTACATTTCAATAGTTTTATTTTCATCTTCCCCAAGGGGGAACCAAAGGCAGAGAGGTGTTGTGAGATACATCACGCCGTTCTTACGGGTAAATCAATTTGCAAACGTTATTTTACCACCCTATAAAAATACACACAGGAGTGTGAAGGAAGCAAAGTAGTTCAGAGTGGCTGTCATGGAGCACAGCTGTTAAATACAATCGGTTTTCTTCCCCTGAAATGGTGGCTCTTTGTGCTCCACAAATCCGACGCCTTCAGCAGCCACATGGCACAGGAACAGAACAGTGGTAGCTCCCCTCAGCATGTGCACACCAAAGCACTGGTACAGAACTGCTCCCGTGGGACCAGGCAGTAAATGTGAGCAACAAAGCCCCATCCACAACAGGAAAGAAGATATGCTCTGGTTTATTGTCTCAGCTTCCCATCCAGACTCCTGCAAACAGGTTCTATACCATTCAGGCATCTCTGATAAGAGTCCATGGTTCTATAAAAAGAAGTCACACTGTGAGATGGAGATATTTACCCTGTGTGTGTTACACGAAGAGGAACAACCTTCCAAATTTCTTGAGATACGTCCAAGCAATCTGTGAGTGACCCAATTCCTTCCTCAGAGGGCTGTGCTGTGTGGAACTCAGTTAAGTGCCTCTTCACAGGCAGAGACAGTTTGCTTTTAAAAATATTAAGGACACATTTTTCTTTTTTTTTCTTTTTTTTTTTTTTTTAAAGAACTTCCTGGAAAGTTACTGTGGAAAATGAAAGTGCTCCCATGGTGAGACCAATGTGCAAAGCTCAACAGACTTCTGTCTTTGCTGCTTTCTGAGTATTCCTTCCCTTAGCAGATTTGTTAAGATGAGGCTCAATACGTCGCCACGAGGCCATCATCCACCTGTAACAAGCAGGTGGGCACCAGAGAATGTTTTATGTTTAATCATAAAACATGGAATAAGCCAAGAAACATGGTTCAGATATGATCAGTGTGCTCTCCTGGGTGGGTTTATATGCCAATGGCCTGCAGCACTCGCTTTTCATTCTCATTGAGATGGTCTGAAAACATGGCATAGCAGGGCTGCTGTGCAAACTGACACAGGAAGTCAGTGAGATACGCCTGCAAGGGAGACAGAAAGCAGCAGTCAGCATCACCTCCTGGGAAATCCTGCTTCTATCCTGCATCACGACATAAACGAGAGCACGCACCAAATAACACACAGGGACTGCAGGGAGGAGCGATGCAGCAGGAGGGGGCACAGAGGGGAAAGGCTCAGGGGGAGCTCAGAAGGAGGAACAAAGTATGGCACAGGGCAGTGACAGGGAATTACGTGAGCTCCAATCTCCACCCTGCTTCTGATTTCTGCAAAAAGCTGTGAAGCTCATAGACAGCAGTCTCACCTCCTCTGTTTGAGAAAGATCTGTTCATTCACAAGTTATAGATACAGTAAGGAAAAACAGCTCCAGGCATCATTTGATTAAAATGAAAAAACCTCATTCCAGAGCATCACCTGGAGATCTATTTGGTAAAGAGGGTCCTTTAATGCATCTGGGTCATCCTCTTCATCATCCTCATAGTAATCCTCATCTGTCAGAGGCAAGGCAGCACGTTTTAACAATAAACAGAGCAAAACATCTCAGGGAGTGTTCTATTGGACTCTTGTTGAAACACAACAACCCACACGTAGCTTCAGTGCTGCTGTGCAAGCAGTTCTGTACCCAGCATGTCTGCTCCTGAACTTCTGTGGTTAGAAACAAAACTGCACTCTGGTACATGAAGGGTCAAAGTGGGAGTCCCAGGGAACACAGGGCTGAGATGAGCATACATGGGATACTGGGTGAGCGAGTCTGTAATGTGCACTATTATCTCAGCCCTGATCTTATGTCAGGGTGTCACGCTTCCAGTTCTGTGCTAAGCAAGCAGTCTCCTTCACCATGTTAGCCTGTAAGGTTCTCTTTCCTAAGACTGTATGCAAACCGGAGAGGAAAGGAGGAATATTATACGTGCTCTATTTTCTTTTTGCAGCACTTCTTTTTCAAGACCACTCCACAAGCAAGTTCACCCACTGCTATGACACTGCCATTCCCAGGTCACACCTACACCTCTGACACCAACTCTCCCTTAGGAGGAACACCTGCCTGTACCTCACAGCAGCACAAAGCCTGCAGAGCATTCAGACTCTCCTGTTTGAAACAAAACCCCACTGTGACACTTCCTTCTCTCTGCCTCTCATCTCTGTTGCACTGCTGTCAAGCAAAGAAAACTCAGACTAGAATGTCGCCCACTGTTTTATCTCCAAGTAAGCACTAAAAAGCTGTGACTTACCATACTTGTTTGTGGAAAGAATATCTGATAAGAACTGTCCTGCTAAGCCTTCATCTTCATCCTCATCCTCTTCCTGGTCCTCCCACATATCGTTCGAATCATCTGTTCAGAAAACAAACATTTCCAGACATAAACAACACCCAAGATGTCCAACCTGCCAGTGGTATGTAGAGGCTGAACAGTTGTTGTGCAGAAAGCCCTGCTCTGCAGGGGCAAAGGGAGACACCTGCAGCCATCACTGTCCCCCAGGAGAAAGAAACCACACACCAAAGCAAAGGTAATTCTCCTGGTGCACAGACAGATCCTGACTTCCAGATACAACTCCACGTGTAAGATTAACATTTCCCGATAATTTCCAGGTATAAGAATACACCACAGTGACTCATCCTCTCAATTACTATTTAAACCTTTGTTTAACTACATACACTGGTTCATTGCAGGGGAGTCTAGACTGAACTACGTGCCATTTAAGTATCCCTTCCAACTCCAAAGATTCTATGGTTCTAATTACAGGTGTAATAGTTATTACTGTCAGTTTCTTATTACTATAAATGCTTCTGAAGAGATTACAGAGTAGATTTGAGCCATTAAAGAGGAAAATCAATCCCAGTGTTTCACCTTGGCTCCAGTCTGCAGTGGTCTGTCGAGATGCGTTTGCTTCCATTGCATTCGAG